GGCGTGCCAAACTTTTTGTCAGTGTCGATTCATTTGAATCCACAGAGGAAGGCCACAGATTCCACCACAGGATGATGAAAGTAAACACAGAACCAGCGCCTTGCTACCATCCACCTGTTGCCTAGAGGCCTTGAAGTGGCAGCTCTTCCCTTCCCCCTTCAGCTGCATGTCCCAGCTTCCTCTGCGCTTAGTCTGATTAGTTAAAAGAAGCTTTGCCTGTGGCCTCTCTGTCATTCCAAAGAGCCAAGGAAAGATCCCCGACCCTAGGGCCACGCTGTTACAGTCAGCACAATTGTGTCACATGAAGAATAAAGCAAGGAAAATGTTTTTCCCAAATATTTATTTGAAAGGCGGAGTGAAAGCAAGAGTGAGACAGAACCTTCCACTCATTGGTTCAGTCCCAGAATGGCTGCAATCACTTGAGTTGGACCAGGCTGAAACCAGGAGGTGGAACTCCACCAGGGTCTATCACGTGTGTGCCAGGGCCTACGTACCTGGGCCATCCTCCACTGCCTTCCTAGGAGCATTAGCAGGAAGGCCAATTGGAAGCAGAGCAGCTGGGACTTGAACTGGTGCTCATGTGGGAAGCCTGAATCACAGATGGTGGCTTAACCCACTGCACTACAGCACTAGTCTTAAGAAATCCTTAAAACTAAGAGCTAAATCTTTAGCAACTGGCTGGCTGGCACTCTGTCCTTTAAAGCTGGAGGCAAGAAGACAAAATATGTTTCACTTTCCTGGCTTTCAGGGTGGCTCACAGCACTAACCCCTGCTGTGGAAACTCCCCTTCCTTTGTCCTGTGGAATGTCCATGGCCTGCCAGGTGGGGGGCTTGGGGGAGAAGGAAGAGGCTCGCATGCACTCCAGCAAGTCACCAAGCAGCATCGGAGGCGCTGGCTTAATTTTTAGAATTTAGACTTCAGAAGTCACAGACAATGTATAATGGCATCATTTTAAAAATATCTGAAAAGCAGAGTGACAGAACGAGAGAGTGCTTGATTCTGCTATTTTGCTACCCAAATGTCTGCAGCAACTGTGTGGCCGGGCCAGGCAAAGCCAGGAGCCTGGAACCCTCTAGCCAGGTCTTCCATGTGGGTGGCAGCGGCCCAGGTCCTTGGGTCATCATCTGTCGTGTTCTTAGAAACACTAGTAGGAAGCAGGGTGGGAAGCAGAGAAGGGATTTGAATCAGTGCCTCAAAACAGGATGTGTGCAGCCTAAGCCACAGTGCCACAGACACATCCCACACATATATGCTGTCTTGGGTATGTCATTCTTAGTCCCAATGCAGCCTTATGCACCAAAGAAGGAAAGTATGTTTTGTATGTTTTCTAAGACAGAGTCCCAAGTCATTCCTGTACAGCTGTGAACACATAATGAAGTTATTTTGCCATATAACCGTGCCTCTTTCCTTCTGCTCTCTGGCAGTTCGGGCTCATAAAATAAACTCCAGGAACTGCCCTTTGAGTACGCTGTGTGACTGTTTGTGCAGGCTTTCCTGCTTCTCTCCCGCCCCCTCTGGCTGCGAGAGTCGTGCTCCTTGAATACACAGCCCCTGGTTCAGGAAGAGGAAAGGAGGCTGGGGCAGCCCAGAAGCATCCTGGGAAAGCAGGATGGGAGCAAATGCTTGCTGTGAAGCCTTCAGAGCCGACTGACACAGGTAATCCTGAACAGACCCTCGACAGCAACTGGTTGCCACAGAGGAGTCTGTGCAGTGTAAACAGCGTGTGGTCTGGCCCTGGCGGGGCAGAAACACAGCCCCAAGACCTGCTTTCAGGGAAGAGAGATAAGAGGGAGGGCAGCGCTGCACAAAGAGCAGTTCTTCACAAATGCAGAAATGCTCCGTGCAGGGGCAGGGGTGTGGCCCACAGATCCGCAGGCCGGGCCACGTTGCTACATCAGGCGAGCCCTTGGCACTGGGCTCTGAAGTGCCACAGTGACACCCAGCAAGACATCAGCCCTGGCTCGCAGCCCCTAGGCACTAATGAGCGAGATGGACGGTAGGCTGGAGTGCATCCAGTGCTGTGGCAGACACTTCCAGCGTAACGTGGAGGCCCAGAGGAGGGAGAGGCAGCTCTGACTTGAGAAACCCTGGAAACCTCCCTGGAAGAAGAGATGTTGAACTTGAGAACCAAGGAATGAGCAGAATTGTCAAGACCATGAACATGGGACACAGGGCACAGGGTGGCGGTGAACAGGGACTCTATCCATGGGGCATGTGAGTGTATCTGACAACTAAAGCAGATGTTTAACTTTTTTTTTTCTTATTTTTAATTTTAATGTAACTATTCCTCCTCCACCAACTGATTTGTGTATTTGAAAGGTAGAGTTCCAGCTGATAGATCTATCAGCTGGTTTACTCCCCAAATGGCTGTGTTGGCCTGAGCTGAGCTGGTCCAAAACTGAGAGTCAGGAGCTTTTTTCCAGGTCTTCCACACAGGTGCAAGGTCCTAAGGTCTTGGGCCATCTTCAGCTGCTCTCCCAGGCCCATCATCAGAGAACTGCATCAGAATGGAGCAGCCAGGTCCAGCGTGGTAGCCTAGTAGCTAAAATCCTCGCCTTACATGTACCAGGATCCCATATAGGAGCCGGTTCTAATCCCAGCTGTTCCACTTCCCATCCAGCTCCCTGCCTGTGGCCTGGGAAAGCAGTCAAGGACAGCCCAAGACCTTGGGACCTTGCATCCATGTGGGAGACCCAGAGGAAGCACCCGGCTCCTAGCTTCGGATCGGCGTAGCTCTAGCCGGTTGCGCCCACTTATGGAGTAAACCAGTGGATGGAGGATCCTTCTCTCTCCTTCTCTGTAGTTCTGACTTTCCAATTTAAAAATGAATAAATTAATCTTTTAAAAACGTGGAGCTGCAAGGATATGAACTGGCATCCATATGAAATGCCAGTGCCGCGGGACAGAAGATTATCTGGCTGTGCCAATGCACTGGCCCCTTACTATCGATTTTTAAAAAACTCTTACTGGAAGGAGATTGGGTGAAGAGGGACAGATACGACAAGCAAAAATTCCATACTAACCTCATAGAACTCAGGCCCACTAAAAATGTCATATCAAGTTAGCTTCAGCCTGAGTGTATAAGACACCTGTGAAGATACATGAACGCTGTGTTTAGAATTGTTCTCATCCCTCACGTTATGTATACGCAGATACTCCAAAATCTGGGGGGAAAAAAAGATAACTGACATCTAAAATACATTGAAAAAAGTGAAGCTCAACTTGAACTACTCTTTCAGGAATACAGCCACATGCTACACCGAAGGGCCCACGCACAGGACAGTTCTGCCTCGAAGTGGCCAGCCCAGAGCCCTCACACTGAGATGCAGGCAGGTGCCTCTTGAAGGACAGCATCGAATGGCCACCCAGCTGCCAGCAGCTCTGCCCATGCCAGGTTGGGGGTGGGTGGGGTAGCTTCCTGCCATCAGGGGTGCTGCCTCGAAGGCCACCAGGCTGCCTTCCTTTCTCCTGGCAAATGTGGGCTGCTGGCAGCAGAAGTTCCAGGCTGGCGGCAGCATCTCAGATTCAGCTGTAGGGCTGAAGCCCAGCCAGGTCCTTGGAGGCCTCTAGATTTCCCTGCAGATTTTGCAATAGAAGATGGTTCTATTGGAAACCCAGGACTGAAGAGGTGTGGTTACCTTAGCAGGCCATTTATAGTATAACCTCTGGAAAAACGCATTCTGTGTTCTAAAAGAATTTTCCAGAATCAGATGATGCATCTAAAAACTGGGGACTGCTTGAAACTTTTGGAGATTAATTTGGTTTGAGGGAGGGAGAGGTGGTCTTTCATCTGCTGGTTCATGACCCAGATGACAACAATGAGTCTAAGAGCTTTATCCAGGTCTTCCACGTGGGTGTCAGGGGCTCAAGCACTGGGGCCCTAGTCCTGTGCCTTCCCAGGCACATGGGCACACAACTGGATCGTGAGAGCAGCAGCAGGAACTGGAACTGGTGTTCCTATGGGATGCCAGCCCTGCAGGCAGCAGCTTAACCTATTTTTTACCCCTGATGGTTTTAGGTGTGAGCGTTTGGTGGTTGCAACACCTGCATCCCATTCTGCAGTTCCTGGGTTCAGGTCCCAGATCTCCTTTGATCCCAGCTGATGAGCACCCCAGCAACGGGGACTCAACTACTTGAGTCCTGCCACCCATGTGGGTGGGATAACTGAGTTCCCAGACCCTGTGGCTTCTACCTGTCCCATCCCTCACGATAGTGGAGATTTAGGGATATCCGCCTTGCAGGCGCTTTCTTTGCCTTTCAAAGAAAGTCCGCAAATAGTTAAAAAGAAAACCCCAAAGACGCGGCAGAGATGATTTACACACATAGTAAAAGTGTAAGGACACATGTGTTGGCAGGCTCACATGAGTGGAGACAGAACGCATGGCTAGAGGGTGCAAGCATGAGCCATGAGGCTGGGCGATGGGGCTTAGAAACTGCACACAATGGCAGCTTCTCCACTTCTTCGCCAGGTGCCTGGAACTGCGCACATCCAGTGCACAGGCTAGTCAAGCTATTATGTCTCAGGCTGTGCTCGAGTCCCCACTTCCGGGATGGGTAGGGTCTGAGCCGAGGAGTCAGACTGGGATTGTGGGCAGAGGAGCAGAATCACAAGGAATGACGCTCGCGGAAGCTTCACCAAACCCGCTTTTTTATTTTTTGACTTGGTGCGTGTCGGCCACGCACCGGGCGGATCCCGGCTGCACCCTGGCATCCCGCCGCCCGCCGCCAGGGGGAGCCGCCTCCCGCCGCCCTGCCCGGCGCGCGCCCTCGCCGTGCGCCCCGCGCGTGCGCGCGGCCCAGGTGAGGAGGCGGCAGGAGGCGGCCCGGGCCGCGCGCCGGGCAGGGCGGGCTCCTCGACCGGCCGCGGCGGGCGGAGCCTGCGGGGCCGGGCCGGGCCGGGGCGGGGCCGGGACAGCCCGAGGCCCGAGGCGGGACCAGCCGCCGCCGTCTCCGACTCGGGTCCTGGCCCCCACAGCACCCGGCAGCCGCGCGGCGGGACGAAGGGAAAGCGCCGGCTGCGCCCGTGCGCCCAGGAGCTGCGGGAGCCGCGCGCGCCCACCTGAGCCCGCCCGCGCCCACCTGAGCCCGTGAGCCGGCGCCATGGCGGAGCAGGAGAGCCTCGAGTTCGGCAAGGCGGACTTCGTGCTGATGGACACCGTCTCCATGCCCGAGTTCATGGCCAACCTCAGGCTCAGGTGAGGGCGGAGCGAACGCGCGCGCGCGCTGGCGGTGCGGCCACTTTCGGGGTGTCAGCGGAGGTGGGGTGCCCCGAGTGGAGGGGTAGCGCCAGGCCGGGAGTGTGGCCAGGGGCGTGCCGAGCTGGGGGTCGGGGGTGCCGCCTGGCTCAGAGCGCGGACGCCCCTGGGTGTTGCCTGTCCCGGGGCAGTGAGGAGCCCCCCGAGGTGGCGCCCCGGGCCGCCCCCCGCCTGCCGCGCGCCAGGTGAGGGGTGTGGGCGGGGCCGGTGAGCTCATGGAAAGTCAAAACTGGAGGGCGAGGCGCGGTGGCCACCCCGAAAGCCTCAGCAAGGCCCGAGGGTTGTTGGGGAGCAAACGCTTGCTTCTTGTCTGTCTGCGTTTTCTTGTATTTTCCTGGCGTGGTTCCATCGTGTCGTTCAGGATACTGCGGAGTGATCCCCGGGCTGCGGGTTCCGGGACGCTGGCTGTTTTTTAGTTACTCCCTAAACGTCATTAGACGCGTTTCCAGACATCGAAGAGACTGCGTGCTTTCGCCAGTGCCAAGATAAACTGTCTGAATTTGACAAGGCGTTCATGGTTTCGGTTTTTTCTTTTTTTCAAGGAGTTTATAGACGGAGCCCTTGTGTTACTGACATCCCTGAGTGTAGACACACAAACACCGCCCGAACGCCCTTGTTGTAGTCCTCTGGTTGTAATGGTTTTGCTCTGGATACTGGAATATGCAAGCAGAGCTTTAGAGCGGTTTGACATTTTAATTTTTTTTTTAAGTTACAGTAAATGGAGTTTTAAAATAGCCAAGTTTTGGTGTGTGTGTGTGTGTGTGTGTGTGTGTGTGTGTGTGAAAGAGAGAGAGAGAATGCATTTTCCTGGAAGTACTGGCCCTATTTCTTGTCAAGTTTATAGCTAAGCATCACTCTGTAAGCTTATAAAGTGAAATCATAATCCAGGTTTGGATGTTTGACTAACTCCATTTCTCAGTATTGGTTACTCCTGTCAACCCTAATTTGAGTGTTTTAAAATCTGGTTTAATCGTGGAAATTGCAAACCACAGGGAGCCTTCATCATTCCTGAGCAGGCTTCCTTGGGGCCCAGAGCCTGGAGCAGGGGGCCGGTCAATGGGCAGCCCTGGCCTGCCAGAAGCCATCCAGCTGCTGGGTCTGTTCCTTGTCTGAGAAACTATGGAGTCCTCTGGAGTTTCTGTCCATGCTTGCCTCCTGTGACTCCAGGTGTTCCAAGTATAGCTTGACTCAGTGCATGGTAGTGGTTTTTAGGAGAAGGTGGAAGAGTCTTAGTTCGTATCCATGGAGATGTGAAGGACTGGCCCTACGACCCCCAGGCACCCTCATGCCAAAAGCCATGCTTGCCAAAGTGGCTTATGTGCAATGATACAGGATACTTCAGGTCCCTCATTGTGAGGAGTATATCCCAAGGGGCGTGTGCAACGCTAGATGCTAACCAACCAAATAGCTTGCGCTTACTCCTGTGCATACTGTGATAAAGTTTGATTTATAAAGTGTGCAAGTAAGACGTTGACAATAAGAATCACTTACATCACTATACTGGAGCCAAAGGTGAATGTGGCTTCTTTCTCATGTTTCATTATACTGTACACACTGTTCTTGTAGATCAGCAAAATTCTGGATGAGAATGGAGCCGGCTATGTTTGCATATAACTTGTGCACACCCTCCTGTTTATGTTTATTTTAAGATCTCTTTGAAAGGCAGAGTGACAGAGAGAAGGAGGGAGTGCAAGCTCTTCTCCCAGTTAGTTTATTCCTCAAATATTCACAGCTGCTGGTCGGGCCAGGCTAAAGCCAGGAAACAGGACATCCACCTGGATCTCCCAGGAACAGAATCCATTATCCATTGTCTTCCCAGGCACGTTGGGCGGAAGCTGCATTGGGAACACCTCATCAGGACTCAAACTGACGCTCGGATAGGAATTGCAGACATCTAAGCAAGAGCTTAAAACCCAACTCTCCAGGGCCAGCATGGTACCATATCAAACTTTTCAAATAAAAATAAATCTTAAGTAAAAAAAAAAAACAACACCCCAACTCTCTTGTAGAGTTTAAATCATCTCTAGATTGCCTGTTATACCTCATACCATGTGGATGACACACCCATAGTTGTCAATACTACTTAAATACAGCATAACAAGAGAAAGAAGACCTACTTCCCCTCCTCTTAACTACTTTTAGTCTGTTTGGTTGACATCAAAGATACAGACCTGTGGATCTGAAGGGCCAACTGTAGGCAGATTTATTTATACGCAGTGCACTATGATAGTGTGTTATTTCTGTGATGGAAGTTTAGATCCCCAGTTTTTATAGCAATGACTCCTAATCCCAAATTAATCGAAATGATATATGTATCAGCTGTAACCAATACCTACTGCCGTGGTGCTTAGGAATCAACCTGTTGAGATCTGAGTTTTGAATTGACTGCTTTCTTGCTATGATCCTTGGGCAAGTTACTTAAACCTCTCTGTGCCTCAGTCTGGTCTTAGAATTGGATTTAATCTGAAAGTTTTGTTATTTGACATAATGTAACTTCAAAGATGAAACCAGGCAAATGCATATTGACAATTTTGTTTGACATAATATCTTCCTAAGTGCACATAAAGCAAAGGAGTGAGCTTAATGATTATTTCGTCGGCTAAGATTGGCTGCATGTTACTTGAGAGATCCCACCACCCTCCTTCCAGGAAAGAAGCTGTTATGTTTACGGTCACTTCAGCTTTTCACAGTTCAGATACATTTGCTGAATACAGACTGTATACAAGACAGTATTGTAACAGTTGAATATGGATTCATTCATTCAATTTAACATCCACTGCCACCTGCAGCAGAACTTTGCAGAGTTTGGGAGTTGAAAATGAAGACTTGTGGTTTGACTGGGCCACAATAATTTGCAGAAGTGCTCCTTTGCAGCAGAGTTAAAACTCATATGGTTTATTAAAACTTGAGGGGGGCACTTTAGGATGACTTCTTTTTTTTTTTTTATTGCTCTCATGTTCATTGGTGGCAGTGTCTAAGTGAGGTCTGACTCCTGGGTTGCTAAGCTGTGTCTAACTTTTCTGTGCCGAGAATGTTACCACCAGCTGATGATACTTTGTGTCGGGCTCAAAGGAAGGTGGAGCATTGTACAGAGCTGTGCTCTCTGCCTCTCCAAGAAGTGGCATGCTGATGAAGACAGGTGGAAAAGGTGAATCTAGCCGTTGACTCAGAGACTTATTCAGGAAGGCAACAGAGAAGAAGAGCCTTCTAGTGCTCAGGTGGTTACTCACCAAGTAATTGTAAAGACTAATTGTTCTGGAAGTTCTGGAGCGGGAGAGATGCCTTTGGCTTATAAGGAAATGCATGTGGAGGAGGGGAGGACTGGAACTGAGTCAGTCCCAAGGATGAATAGTATTTGTCTTGATGGAGATGTGGGGAACATTCCAGGTAGATAGTGTTACTCTGGGTGACAGTGAATGAGCTGTGTTTGGCAGGGCAGGACTCACCAGCTCTCATTAGCAAGACTTTTACTAGCCTCCAGGTTCCTACGTCTGCCTTCACGCTGAGCGTGAGAGCAGCTGAGAGTCGGGATGTCCGGATGTGTCTGTCTCTGTGTCCGCTGGACAGCTCTGGGAACTAGAGCTCTTGTCATTGTGCAGAGCAGTGGCTAGTCTTGACTTGCTTGTGTGTTACGGTGATTGGTTCCCTGAAGCTAGACAGTCTCAGCCAAGGATGGCATCTTTACCTTCCAACTGGGGAGAAAGCAGCTGTGTCTCTCACAGCTGGTTTCATATCAGCCTGGCATTCCTTGAGACTGCTTTAGTGCTTCATGGATGAGCTTCGGCTGCTGTGTCCTGTGGGTATCTGTTTCATGTTGTAGGGTGTGACCACAGGCTCACTACTGGAGATCCAGGCGCAGTGGTGTGATGTTGAAGTGTTTTCCTCTCCAGAATGTTGATGGTTGGAGCACATTGGATGTATATTCGAAATGGACAATACCACAAAGGTTTTCAAGACATATACCTGGGGCCTGGCGCAATGGCTTAGTGCCTAAATCCTCACCTTGTATGTGCCGAATCCCATATGGATGCCAGTTCCTGTCCCGAGGCTCCACTTCCCATCCAGCTCCCTGCTTATGGCCTGGGAAAGCAGAAGAGGATGGCCCAAAGTCTTGGGACCCTGCACCTGTGTGAGAGACTTAAAGAATCTCCTGGCTTTGGATCAGCTCAATCCTAGCCTTTGTGGCTACTCAGGGAGTGAACCAGTGGATGGAAGATCTGTCACTCCTTCTCTATAAATCTGCCTTTCCAATAAAAATAAATTTTTTTGTATTTTCTTTTTTTAAGATTTATTTATTTTTATTGGAAAGTCAGATATACAGAGAGGAGGAGAGACAGAGAGGAAGTTCTTCTGTCTGCTGATTCATTCACCAAGTGGTCACAATGGCCTGAGCTGTGCCGATCCAAATCCAGGACTCAAGAGCCTCTGGGTCTAATCTTGCTGGGATTAGAAGTGGCACCCATATGGGATCCTGGTGTGTGCAAGGTGAGAATTTTAGCTATAGGTTACCATGCTGGCCCCATTTTGTTTTGTATTTTCAGCACACTGTTTGGTTTATTGTTGAATTTTTAAAGAATTGTTATTTTATGGTAAGTTCAATAGGTTCTAGAATTTCCCGCCCCCTTCCCAAATCCTCTCCGCCTCCCCCTACTGATTTCCCCTCCAGTGTTACAGACTTCATGAAGAGTCATGAGACCATTATTCCATCTTGAAGTGTTTCCCAACATTGTAGGAATGGGCTGTGTCAGGGAGTCCAGCATCCTACTATTATATATTCAACAGTTTCACTGGGAGTCCATCTTTGGTCTGGATGCAGAGATATATACTATACTATGTCTCTCCGTTTCTCTATTGGAAATCTGCCTTTCCAATTAAAAAAAAATCTTAAAGATATGGTCACTCCTGCCCTCCTCACCCCTGTGACTGCTGCCCTCATTCCC